TTTTATTATAGTAGGGATAGGGATAGGGATAGGGAAAAGAGTTGCCATCATCCTTATTAATTTCCACAGACCTTGCGATATTCCATTGACTGGCAAATCAAGTCTTCGCTCACCGCAGACCAGTACTTCCACATCCATAAAAATCCATTTCTGTTTGAAAAAATATCAAAATTATGAGCAGATTCCTTTTTTTAGATTAATCATGTCAGCCTTCATAATCTCTACATATTTTTGCTTATTTTGCATTCTCTGCTTCAGCACAAGAATTAGATCGGATCCTCCTCTTTACCATTATTGTCCAAATACAAATACATACAGTCCTAATAGCACCTATCGATCCAATTTGAATCAACTTCTCCCCGATTTATCCTCATACGCCACCAGGGAGGATGGATTTTTCAATTCCCAGGCTGGCCGCGGCCTTCCCGACACCGTCTACGGCCTCTTTCTATGTAGGGGAGATGTTAACACCACTGCCTGCCAACAGTGTGTGGAAACTGCTACGACTGAAGTCCTACAACGTTGTCCCAAGGAAAAACGGGCAACTATCTGGTATAATTATTTATTTTATCAAATGTTGAAGTTATCATTATATATTCATTTAATATTGTTTTCAACAGGTATGACTATTGCATGTTACGCTACTCGAATGAATCTATAGTGTCGAGGGTAGTGTTGGTCCCAATCACTGTATACCTGTATAATACGCAGAACATTACGGATGAACCCAATAGGTTCAGACAGTTATTAGGAGAGGCGATGAATGAAATAGCATCAGAAGCTGCTAATAGTAATCCCTCCGGTAAGGGATTTGCAACAAAAATAGTTAATTTCACGGAGTATGAGAACCTGTATACACTGGCACAGTGCACGCCGGATCTTTCGAGTGTTGATTGCGACAACTGCCTTCGAACTGGGATCGCACAATTAAGAAAATGTTGTGATAATAAGAAAGGGGGAAGAGTTATTGGCGAAAGCTGTAATATTAGGTATGAGATTTACCCCTTCTTTAATTCTACTGTGGCCCCTGCACCACCGCGTACTCCAAATATTCCTCCTATTCAGCCACCGCCTCCCTCACCTTCATCAACCAGTCAAGGTAACCTCTTGATTCTTAAGCAGTACATTATTTTTTCAAAAAAAAAATGATATCGACAAGAAAAAGAGTAATAACGAATTAGTGAACATCAATATGAGTCTGCAATGATCATAGCTAATCACGAGAGATATATCTCAGCAAATCTTCTAGTTGTTCAGTGGATGATTTCGACAAGAAAATTTATCTCTTTTGTGTTTCCAATTCAGGAAATGGAGGAATTTCAAAACAAGTTATTATTGCCATCGTTGTACCAATTGCTGTTTCCTTTGTGTTTTTTTTCATAATCTTCTGGACAAGGAGAACCAGGAAGAAAGCTTACGATGCCTTCAATGAGGAAAATGGTAAGCTACGATTACACAGGAAAAGTAGAAGAAAAAGATTCCCATTCGGTCTTATTTGGAGTTTGTGTACACTCTAGGATTCTGCATCGAACCAAATCATCTAGAAGATTAAGCCCCTTCATATGCACACACTAGGATTTTCTGTTGGTTCTTAACATCGTGAATCCCGCCATCTAAAACTTTAAGTAGAGTTAGATATGCTACGTGTTTATTTATTTAAATTTGATTTTCAACATTTTGGACAATTTGATGAAGATGCAGCACTGACTTTATGGAAGTCATCAGAATTTTCTAGCTAAGAAATTGTGAACTCCACCGCCATACTAGGAGGAGGAGCAACAACCGACATATCTACTTCAACCACCACCATTCTTGAGTTTTCTCGTCCACCGCCCAAACAGAAATGTGTAGAAGAAACCACCAACTTTTAATGCCTATATATATGTGTGTGTGTCTCTGCTGTAGTGTGTGCAATTGGAGAGTATTGAGAGTGTGCGCATGAGTGAGAAACAGAGAGTGGAAAGAGAGAATAAATTGAGTGTTCCATTGTTAAATATAATTGGTTAGTGATTTTAGTGTGTGCAAAATTTCTAAATTTATTTCATTGATAAAATTAATTTTTGGGTGTTTAAACTAAACAATTTGATAGCATGAAAGCCTATGGTCTAATATTGTTTATCTTGTATGTTTCTACTTATTCAGCAGTTTTTGTCTAGTTCACCGTTTTAGTATAGCAATTTCAGTATAAGACAGCAAGAAATCAATAGAAAAACTTATTTTCTCACATGTTCACTCAATCCTAGGTTGAAGAAATTTATGTAATGATTTGCTATTTTTGTATGTAGACGAAGGAAACGAGATTTCGTCAGTTGAATCCTTGCAATATGACTTGAATGCTATTGCGCTAGCTACCAACAACTTTTCTGCTGACAACAAAATTGGTGAAGGTGGATTTGGTAGTGTCTACAAGGTACTCGATGAAGGAATTTAATTTTAAGTACTAGGTTTTATACCTTTTTTAGCAATGTCTTCTGCATAGGTATGGTTTGTTTGGTAAGTTGGGCTATATGGCATTTGACATAGCATTGACGAAAAAACGAAAAAAATGAGCTAAATTTTTGTTCACTGTAGTGTACAAACCTTCAAACGTGCTTGTAGGGTACTTTTTCGAATGGACAAGAAATAGCAGTGAAGAGACTTTCCAAAAATTCAGGACAAGGAGCAAAAGAATTTAAGAATGAGGTTGTAGTTGTCGCCAAGCTTCAACACAGAAATCTAGTAAGACTACTTGGATTTTGCTTGGAAAGAGAAGAGAAGATACTTGTTTATGAATTCGTGACCAATAAAAGCCTTGATTATTTTCTATTCGGTAAGCATCAATCTTGATATGATTACTTCTCATCTTTATACTGAAATTCCTATGCATTGGCTGCCGATAAAAAAATAATTTAGCCGAGAAAATATACAGATACATAATATATAAATTTTCCAGTTAAGGCCTTTTAGTTTTTATTTATGAGACTTGGCCTTCAAAAACAATGTTAACAGTCTGATTCATTCTCTTAATGGATGTAAAGATCCAGAAAAAGGGCAAATGTTGGATTGGTCGAATCGTTACAAGATCATAGGAGGAATAACACGCGGATTGGTTTACCTTCATGAAGATTCTCGTCTGCGAATTATACATCGTGATCTCAAAGCTAGCAATATATTGTTAGATGAAGAAATGAATCCAAAAATATCGGATTTTGGCATGGCGAGAATTTTTGGCGTTGATCAATTTCAAGGAAATACAAATAGGATTGTTGGGACATAGTAAGTTCTACTTTAATCCATTTGCCAAATTAAGTAATAAGTGGATTTTATTATTATCAAGTAATGATCTTCTTAAGTTTATTAGCTCAAGATATTTTTATTTGTAGTGGTTACATGTCTCCGGAATATGCAATGCATGGACAGTTCTCTATAAAATCCGATGTTTTTAGTTTTGGCGTCCTAGTTTTGGAAATCATAAGCGGCAAGAAGAATAGCAGCTTCTATCAAACAGATGGTGCTGAGGATCTCTTAAGCTATGTAAGTGAAAACTTCAAATTATTTCTAGAGGCCATATTTGTTATTGACGTATTTTTGCTTTCCTTTCGTTTATTATTTCTATT